TTTACGAGAGTCATGGAGCGGCAGTCGCAAGTCGATTTATTATCGGGAGTTCTACATCAGCGGTGATGACCTACAATAAAAAAAAAAAAATACGGCCACTGTGTGCCGTAACAATAACGCTTGGTTGCTGGCGTGGAGAGGCGTTATCAGTATCATTCGCTTATCCCTTGGTGTCATATGCACGCGCTTTGTAAGACAGTCAGTGTGGCGAGGTTTTTTTGGTTCCCGCGCTGCGGTCTTGAAGGTGGTCCCGCACGAGGTGGCCGCGAATGGCGGTGCAGCGTGCTTTTGTTGTTTGTTGAAAGCTCTTGACGCTATGATGTCAGGCTTTTCTCTAAGTGAAGGACCACTGTTCCGTTACTAAGATTTTTGTGCAATCATTATTTCTGAAATATTTTTGGAGTGTGATGCGCTCTTCTTTGTGTGTTTCCGGGGAACCTAGTTTTCATCAAAACCTTTTTATTAAATATTATTACACATGTTTGTTACGAGGGCCGGATAGGTCCTGTGTTACGTAAAAAAGCGTGCAGTTCATACCTGGTGATAATCTGTTTAAAAACTTCCTTCGAAATCTGTTTCAGTATACGTATATCAAAAAGCAATTAAAATATGCACTGGTGCCCTCACATTCCTAAAAATTTATATTTTCAAGCTCACTAGACAACATATTAAATGCCGTTAACTGCTCCCTAGCAAGATTATTCTGCTCCCAATTTAGTCTCAGCCGTCTCACCCCTGCGCATGTCATCTCGTGTGGTTGTGACGCACGATTTTCCGAGACAAAGATTCTAGGCAGAAGCGCAAGTAAAACTGCACGTGAAGTGTTAGAGGCTTTTTTCATCAGGAAAAATAAAATAAAGATCACTGTGTAAGCGCCCCTTCGCTATCATAGTTACCAAGCGAAATCCAGTTTATCGGTTTTAGGCTCTCGAATTGATAAACTGCATGTATTGATAATGTGTGCTGTCGGCCTTTTATGGTGTTAGTACACACATGTGTCATATGTATATATTCAAGCCTTCGAGCTATGAATAAATCAGTTGGAAGTGAGCGCTACGCGTGTTTGATGCCGTGTGTGTGTGTGTGTGAGTGATTGTGTCGTGTGTTTGCGCTTGATTTAATTATTTGGAATGTTGTACCAACTAGCCCAACAACAAGTTCTTTTACGGGCTAAACTCAGCGATTGCTTACACAACTGCGAAGCACTCTTTTTCTGTAGTAGAATAATTCGCCTCTGGCGTAGCGGCCGACATAGGCTGTGACTTTGTCGATGTCATCTTGACGCTGAACGAGCACTGCACTGAGACCAATGTTACCAGCATAAGTATGCACCTCCGTGCCAGCATCATCGTCGAAATGAGCGAGAACAGACGCTGGTTGCATGCGCGGGCATAGTTCATCAAGAGCTGCTTGTTGGCCATTTTCCCAGATGAATGGCATGTCATCCCTTGTAAGGCGGGTCAGGGGTTTCGCTATCTGTGAAAAGCCATCAATAAAAACTGGCGATAGTTGGAGCACAAACCAAGGAAGCACCGGACGGCTTTCTTATCGACAGGAGCTGGTAATTCGGCAACAGCGGCAAGCTTGTCCGGATTGAGCCGGACCCCTTCGACGCTAACTACATGTCCGACAAATTTGAGTTCCTCATAACTGAAGTGGCACTTCTGAGGCTTTAGTGTGAGGTCTGCCAATCGAATAGCCTACAGCACGCTGCCCAGGCAGTGAAGGTGCTGCTCAAACGTGGCATAAAAGACAACCACATCATCAAGGTAGACAAGATGAGTCGGCCACTTCAGCCCTGTGAGGACAGTGTCTATCATTCGCTGGAAAGTTGCCGGCGTTGAACGCAAGCCAAAAAGAAGTACTCGAAATTGATGGAGGCCATCTGGAGTTACGAAGGCTGTTTTCTCGTGGTTTTACTGATCTACCTTGATTCGCCAGTACCCACTTTTCAGATCGAGAGAAGAGAAATAATGGGCACGACGAAGTCTATCTAGCGAGTCGTCAATGCATGGCAGCAGGTACACGTCCTTTTTGGTCCCGTTGTTGAATTTCCGCTAGTCGACGCAGAAGCGTAGCAACCCATCCTTCTTTTTGACAAGGACGACTGGAGACAACCACAGGCTGTTGGATGGTTTGATAACGTTTTTGTCAAGTATCCTGTGGACTTGCATACGTATTGCTTCACGTTCTTTAGTTGACACGCGGTAAGAGTGCTGGAGTATCAGGCGTGCATCCTCTTACGAGGTGATCCTGTGTTGAGTGACGGATATGTTTGGCATATCTTTGAGGGGCTTGCAACAAAGCAAGACCTAAACTCTTACAAAGTGATTCTGTGTTGAATGACGGATATGTTTGGTGGATCTTTGAGAAACTTGCAACAAAGCAAGACCTGAACTCAAACAAGAGCACTCGCAGCGCAGTCTGGTTATCAGTGCACAGATCAGGATTGATGTCAATATTACTCAGTGACATGTCTGCGGTACCCACTAGTTCTGGCGTGAGGCAGTTGGTGACGTTTTCTATTTCGTGGGCAAACACTATCGAAGTGCCATGGAAAAGGTATCGATGCTCATTGCTAAAGTTGGTAATGAGCAATTCAGATTGACCATCACAAAGGTGAAGGTGTATTACACTTCTAGCTACAAAAATGCCGTGCTGCAAGGGGTATTCTAAGTTTGTTTCGGCGACCACTTCATCATCGCCTAAACCACAGCATGTGACGTCGACTAGAAATACTTGCTCGTGGAGGAAGCGTCACGCTCTATTCAGAAACGCAAAGTACGTCAACACGCCATTCGTCGTCCTGCACGTCGATTGCCCGCTGGGCTGAGAACATGATGCGGTGCTCTTGCGGATCACCATAGCACCATTCTTCCGCAGAAAATCAACTCCCAGAATGACGTCATGGGAGCATTCGCGTAGGTAAAGGCAGCTTGCAACGAATGTATGCCCTTGAATCTGAACTTGAGTTACGCAGGCGTCCAGCGGAGTAACGACGTGGCCACCAGTTATCCGAATTTGCGAGTCATGCCACGGCGTGATTACTTTTTCCAGCTGTGTTGCTAGTTTCCTGCTCAGTATGAAATAATCTACACTGGCGTTCACTAATGCATTTACCGTGAAACCATCAATTGTCAATGATATGTCAAGTGAAAGCCGGCCAACCCTTGCAGCAGCACGTGATTTCGGATCATTATTTGTACGGCTCTGCATCAATAGGAGGTCTTCAGCACTTTGATGTTTAGCGATCCCACCACCAGAGGTCGCTTCAGCTCAAGCGGGGGCTGGGAGACCGTGCTATAGAATACCGTAGAAGCAGCAATGAAAATCTCTTTGGCGATGGTGAGCGCGACTGGCGCCCAGCAGACGGTAGTGCATGCTGCAGGAAGAGGTAGTTTTCGATGTTGTGGGGCCACTGGCGGTAGCGGGGTGGCGGAGAGTATGCAGAAAAGTAGCAAAGCCCAAGGCAGCGGTATGGCCAAGTGGTACAAGTGATCAGCTTTTCCGCAGTGAAAGCATAGAGGCCGGCGATCGGGTGTGCGCCAAGCATCCGCCTTCCAAGGAGACGTGTGCCGATTGTCGATGTATTGAACCGGTTGCTCGGAACAATGGGCGACAGGAGCCCCACCTGCATGTAGTGGGTCGAGGGCAAGAGCGGCGGCATGTACGCGCCATAGCTTGTCAAGACTGTTTCATGGTATCCTTCCTCCACTGCTCTGCACACCTTTCACCACATACAGTACAGCTGGTTACATAAATGTGCAGGTCACTTATCTGGGATAACATATCGGTGCTGGACCCTGGTACCTACCAGAGTACCTGTAACAGGTGCTGGACTCTGGTACCTACACACAAATATATACATGGAGTGAAATTGGCCTGAAACTTTTTGTCAACAAAATCTGGCTGATGTAATTTTGAGATAAAAGAGTTTATCTTCTCACAAAGTGTCTGCCAGCGTTTATACTTTTTCATGAACTGCACGCAAGGATGCATTTTGCAAGGACCGTCAAAATTAGATACATTGAACTCGGTGGAGAATATGCCACTCTTCAATCTATCTATAATTAGAAATATAAAATGTAGAAGACTCTCATTGAACAGAAACTCCTTGAATAAAACGACTGCTCTTGACATGATTGGTTTCGTATTTGTATTCAGAACCTCAGTTCATGTCTCAGTAAATAAAACCCCGGTTAAATGAAACGTTCTTTTCTGGTGCCTTCAGGTTCCGTTTAATGAGAATATACTGTATGCCTGTCTCAGGCTTCCTTGTAAATTCTTCACGTAAACAATTCCTTGAAATCGCAAGGGGCAACAATTTGCTGGTCTATTTCTTGGCAGGGTTTAGATGCATGAAAATTTACTTAATATGTAACACTTTCTCATGCAAAGCAAGGGACCAGTGGGCTGTTCGAGTCCTGAGAACAGCATGTTCGGCCACATTCCTTAAAAAAAATTGTAACAGGCTCTACACTTCACTGCGCTACTTCGACGAAATTCGCCAAAGCAAAGCCATTATTGAGAAGTGCAAATAAAATCCTCGATGCATTGTAAAACATGCATTTTGCTAATTTCTCTTGAACATCTAGCACTATGCTTTAAATTCAATACCTTATTTGACAGCATCTCTAAAAGCTTGGGTTTTGTTAGCGTGAACATATCTTATGACCAAGAAGTAATCGCAACAGTTCCATTTAGAAGAAGCATACTTCCAAGTGTGCAAGATAGCGTAGCTTTCGATATATCAAATGTGGAGGTGAGTGAAGTTGATCTACACACAGGCTTTTCAGAAGTATGAAAACTGTTCTGACAAATAAATTAATTAATTTATGTATCTATATTTAGCCAATTAATGATAGAAGTGGCTTACATACAAAAACAAAATATCAGATGGAGAAACTAAAAGCAAATCATAGCTAATGTGATACTAGAAAATGTTATCTGGGTGCTCATTAGCTACACTGTTTGCATGCACAGGAAAAGAAACACGAAAGTATGTGACAAATGTTCTTTTAATATTCTGTGAATGTACAGCAGCACCAAAAACAAGCATCATATTTTTAAAATGCAAATAAATAATCGTGTGTGCAGCTTCCTTTCAGTGCTGGCTATAGGAATACCACCACCAAGCACTGTTGCTACCAGCCTGCGATTGCTGCCAAAACTCACAAGCAGGAAATGCATATCATTTTCAGAGGAGCATTCAGAAACTCCTAACCTTAGACTACTATCTTTATGAAAACAGTTATAATTAGAAGTGTTCGAATATACGAAATGTCAAACATCTTTCTAATAGTGCTTGCTTATTTCATTCAAATAACAATAGAATTTCATTATTTGAACTTCCTCAAGATAAATGCAGTCAACGTTCAATAAACAGTGGCCCCTTAAAATTTTTTTTATATGCTTCACCGCACTGCATTCTCGCATAGCGGCAAAACTGCCTTTCAGGAACAAGAGCTTAATTTGGTCGAGCTGTTTCATCGTAGTTGTGTTTTATTAACAGCACGGCAACATCAGAAACAGACAAAGCGGACAGAAAAAGAACAGGCTTTGCTACAGTTGCAAATATATTGACTCGAGAAAACGCTGGTTCCAACATGGAGACAACAGATGCGGGGGCTCTGTTAATGCCAATTGGAACCCAAAATTTGGGCAGGAAATTAAAAAAATCAGAGAGCCATGATTTTCAGCATCCAAAATTTCAGATTTTATGTAGTGTATTGATATCTATGAGGCACATTTAGAACTCCAACCTCGTAGGAAGCACACCCTTGTCGACCACGTCAGTTAGGATTCCTCAGAAGTTCAAAGTGGAGGAGAGGTTAAGAAAATAGCATCTTTGCCATTTGTGAAATGTAATGCGTAAAGTGTGTAAAGACAACACCTTGGTTGTATCAAATCATGTACATAAATACAGTCCAGTCTCTGCATTGTCTCCTTCTCAATAAAACACCCGTGAAACACTTCACTGTGCCAGCGACCTAGCCAAAAAAAAAAAAAAAAAATCACTTTCATATTTCTATCTCATGAGTATATGCTTGGGGAACCTCTCCAACTCCTTCTCTGCAATTTCACTTCAAAGTATTCGATAAATATTCCACATTTATTTGAAAAATACCAAAAAAATATTCGCTTTAAATCGCACACACACTTCAATATTTGAATTCACTTCGCACCTAAAACTTTGCTATTCGCACAGCAGTAGCTATAATAACATACAAAATTGTAACATTCGTGCTTTCAGTACTGGAGCTGTGTGCAAAAAGGCCGAAAACATACTCGGCGAGAAGTCGCTTACAACCCATACCCTCATATGCTTCCCGACTCATATGGGAAACGTGGATGGCGGGATTATTAATCTCAATGAGTTGGCCCACTCGAGGGCACGAGGGTTAGGGCCATGAAGGACCTTTGGGTCGACCTAAAAATTTGATAAACATGGATGTGCCAACTACATACAATAAAATTACCCAGCATTCGACTATGTGAGGTGGAAAGTTCATGAGAAACCTTCCACCTCCACATAGAAAGCTAAATAGAGCAGAGGTGTTCAAATAGTGGTTACTTTTACAAGAAGTGCAACCTAACCTTGCCTGTCTCCACAAGCTTTATCCTGAGGTTTATTTGACTAACTCTTGTGTGAAATGTGGCAGTTTAGCCACCACATGCTCTGGGAGTACACGGCACTGCTACAGCATCGTCCAGCGATTTGGAATCTGCTCTGTGGAGTCCGGCCATCTCATCACAACTTTGTGCTGTCCAGAGAACCTAGGATGTGGTGGTAGATCTTGGCCTTACTGTCCCGTTGTGGGAGTGACCCGCCGTGTCCTGAGGCCGCTCCCATGGACTCCCAAACCAAGCCAAACAAAACCACAGAAAAAGTTCAAGAACAGTGACCCATTCACACTGAACAACTTGCGAGCACACGAGAATCCACATGTGATTTGTAAAACAGGCATCATCAACATTCACGCTCTCCTCAACCCAGTCAGAACTTTGCATAATGAGCTTGACTGCACAAATTAAAGGAACATTTCACTGAACATTGTGTGTCCTGGTACATACAATGTTAGGCACAAGTGGTTCAGTGAGGCCAAACTTAGGCTGAGCATAGTTCTGCTCACACCTGTTCATTCAAGGACGAAATATGCACTCAATCATCGCTACAGCACCAGTATTGCACAAAGCTACATGCATTTATTTGGTGTACACTTGATGTTATTATCACTTGATATGGTTTCGCTACGAAGATGCTGTAAATCTTCTTGGATGTTGTTCCGAATGTGTTGTTGGATACCGTAAATTTTTCTATAAAACACTCTTGGATTCCTTGCCACAAGCCTCGCAGTAAAACTCCAGAAAAAACACATATTTATGAAATGCCAAAAGAGCAATATAGGCGGAGTCCAAAGTTGCAGTTTGAGCCAGTGCATTTATGCTTTCACTTCTCATAATCATCATTTATTTACCCTTAAGGGCCCCTCATGGGGCATTATATAAGGGGGGTGTAACAATAAGTAACTACAGGTCACAAGGAGGCATAAATACTGCTAAGAAAAACAAAGCAGAAACACGCAAAAAACGAAAAGAAATAAAAAGAAGAAAAACAAAAAAATAAGAGGCAGATAAACTCGCAAATAATAGGGCTGCTATTCGGTCTGCTGACACTAGAGCTGCAACAATGAATCTTTAAATTTAACATAATTTCTTTCCATAACAGTGTCGTTGGGAAGTGCATTCCAATATGATATGGCAGTCCGTAGAAATGATTTCTTTAAGGCATTAGTCGAACCATGGATGCGATAAACACTGTGACACTTAAACAGACGTCGTGATGATCTCATGAAAGGTACGATTAGGCTCTTTCGTAGATGAGGAAAGTTATAGTATAGCTTATGAAAAAGGCAGAGACTTGTATTTTGCGGCGGGATGCCAGAGGGGTTACACCAATCGAAGTTTTTATGCTAATAACGATCTGTCTAAAATCATATTTTGGAGTTATAAAACGAGCAGCTCGGTTTTGTATTGCCTCTAACTCTTGGATTAAGTACTCTTGATGGGGGTTCCAGAGAGGTGATGCGTCTTCAAGTTTAGTGCATATGAATGTTTTGTAACCCATTTGTCTAACTGTGGGTGAAGCAAATGTAAGTGACCGTCTGACGAAACCTAATGATCTGAAAATGCTTGCAGAAAGTGATGTGATGTCTTTAGACCAACTTAAATTATCTGTGATTTCTAGACCGAGATACCTATAAGATTCCACCTGTGCTTGCATGAAATTGTTTATCATGTACGGGAATAGTAGGAGATGTTTCTTACGGGTGACGTGCATAAACTTGCATTTTGATACATTTAGCTGCATGAGCCAGGTCGAGCACCAGTTTTGGATTAAGGTTAAATCGTCCTGCAGTAACGCCTGATTGTTGGTAGTGGAGATACGTCGGTACAGAACACAGTCATCCGCAAACAAACGGATGGTTGATGAAATTTGAGCAGGAAGATCATTGTTAAAGATTAGGAACAGATGCGGGCCAAGAACGGAGCCCTGTGGAACTCCGGAGATAACATTTGTAGCTACAGATGGATGGTCTTCAATGATGGTGTACTGGGAGCGATCAGTTAAAAAGCAGTAAATCCATGACAATATCAGGGGATCGATTGAAAGGCAAGGAAGTTTAGTCATGAGATGCCGGTGAGGAACGTGGTCTAACGCCTTGGAAAAATTGAGCTAATAGACATCAGTCACAAAGGAGGAGTCTACGTTTAAGTGCAAGTCAGTTGCGAATTCAGCAAGTTGAGATTCACACGAATAGCCGGATCGAAATCCGTGCTGGTTTGGGAAGAAAAATGAATTTTGGTCCAGGTGCTTTGCCAGGTGAGAGTAGATTATATGTTCAACAAGTTTTCATTTTTAGTAAAACACAGCCCAATGTGGTACGAAAACCGAAATTTTTGCACAGGCAACCTTAAAACAAGAATATGGCGACAGTCACTTCGTGCAGCACTGAATCACTCAAAGAAAAAACCATGCTGCACAACTGAATATTCATCACATCCTTCACTCTTCACACACTTACTTTCACTCAGAATAGATAATAAAAATGTGAACCCTGAACCATCCAATAAAAAAAAAGGGAAATAAACTTTTGAATGCATTGAAAAAATGGGCATCACTTTTTTTAAAAGTAGCTTATCCAAATGACCTGCCTTTCTTATATAACGACATATCTCCATTTTCAGAAATCAAACTTCCCAACTAAAATAAAGAAAGCAAAAATACTAATCAAAAGCAACCCAGAAACCTGTCTGGACAGCCAAGAAATATGATTCTTGGGAAAAAGAAACTCTTGTACATAATATGATGTTTCCATTCCGAATATCAACCCACAACAGAAGAATTTGACAAGTTACCAACTTAGATCAAACTCAGCATGTTCAATTGTAAGTGAAATTGGTGCACTCGCAACGTGATACTATATAAGATCTCGTTGTGATCAAAGGATTTAGTAGTAGCTTAAAATTAACTAGATCCCAGCCCCCCTATCCTACCCCAGATTAAAATGCATGTCAAAAACCTTGAGGATGTAACTTGTAACATGGCATATCACAGGCAGTGCTCATTCAATCAAGAAGACAGCAGTATGGCCGTCACATCATTCATGGACAATATTCTACAAAGATCACCTCCACAGAGACTTTCTTGCACCAGAAAATGAACTAATGGCATCTGTCACATGACAAAGTCTATTATAAGTCAGTGCAGAAGGCATAGTGTTGCAAACACATACTTGGAGCCAGTCAAAGATGTATGCAGCCCAACTACATGGTGACCGTATGTCCACACCCCAATAAAATGAATTCTATATCGCTCAGTACCAACCTAAGAAGTATTCAAGACATCGCTGCAATGGCAAAGCAATGAATGTTATACAAACTAAGGCTAGTGGCCGACTCTTGTAGCGTCAAACTTTGCGTAACTCAACAAAATTGCGGCATAAGGAAATGCGATCACTGCAACGAGCAAAGCGGTCTTTGCACTGTCACTTAATTGCAAAAAAAGCAGAGAGAACAAGATGCACAGAGCAGTCTGCTCATCCCTGTGAAGAAAAGGGCCTGGCCGAGCAAGGCCCGGAGCCATGCTGTCGCTTTCTTCTCCCGTGGCCTTTTGTGCTACCAAAGATGGCCCGTGTGGTTCCTCCAGCAAGATAAGTGTTCATTGGTTACGTTTACCCGCATTCATTAGCACACACATTATGTGTGACAAAGCTGCCGATTCAAACTTTATAAGGAACATCACGTAGGCGCCGGCGGCAAAAACACAGAGGGGGTGCTACAATAATAATTTCTGTAAGAAAAAAAAAAACCAGCTGTGGTGAAAAAGACCGCAATCGCATCCTGTTCTTGTTTGTTTAAGAAGCACACTAGGGTGACCATGGCACTGCTATGATATGAGTGACATGGAGGAAGCATTGCTGAGTCATTGGCCACGTGCCGATGACGTAATCGCTGATGCTGTGTCACGTTGCCGAAGTGGGTGTAGCAAGAACAGTGGGCTATGCCCACCCCTCTTGGTTGCTAAGAGACTGAACAAGAAACCAAAACCAGCTCAAGAGGGCTGTTCTGTACCCTTCCTTATAACAATCCGAAATTCTTGTGGCAGCACGTCGTAGAATTATGCAGTTATCTCTTCAGCACACATTTTGGACAGCTTACTGGCCCTTCAAGTGAATATTAAATTAAAAGGCATGCGTTCACATGGAAAGGCATGAGAAAAAGCGCAAATGCATACTGTTTATTCATGGGCAGAACCACGGAACAAATATGAAGTGGTACCACTTGAAAAGAACACGTGATGTTAGTTTTACCTGTGCCCATTTGTTCAGTGGTATTGCCTATGAATAAGCAGTGTGAGTTTGTGCTTGTCTCCATACCATTCCATGTGAACATGTGTTTAATGTACCAGACCAAGAATGCGTTCTAGCCTAGGTGCACTTTATCACAACTATTTTTCACACAATCACAGGCTGCAGTATGCAAGTGCATTGCCAAACTCACCCCACTGTGCCCAAGTGTGTAGGCTTGGTATCAGGGGCCCGAGAATAAATCAGCTATATTGAGAACCTAGTCGGTAGCTTGTTAAAACTACTGTGTTATCAGGAATGTTGTAATACACTAAAACATACATTCTTCATATAAAGTCAGTTTACTACTATACACCATTTGCAAAATCGCTGCCATCTGTTGGCCGTCGTGAGCATACCATCGTGATAGAGACTCAGCGCGGCACTATACGCACAGTCCGCGTATATTGCCTGATAATACTTCCCTTGCTGGACACAGAGAGGAAATCGAAACGCTGAAAGAAGAAAGCTAAGCCGTGAATTCGCGCCTTGTTATTTTTTTCAAGCTAATGGCGTTTTCAGCATGTGCTCCGGCTACTGCTCCCGAAACACATGTTTGCATTCTCATTTACAGGCAAGTAAGACGTGCAATAGCACTTGTACTCGCGTTCCCTCAAAATGCAAAAAATAAATTTGAACTCAAAATAACAGATATTCATACAAATTTAATTATTACAAACAAAAATATTGCTTAAATTGACTTGTAGTGACTTGTTCATGGGCATTACCATCACTTTCCAAAAACAATTCTCTCTCTCCAGTGGATCTGGCAGCCATCGAATGAGGTTCCAGGCCGCTCTATCTACCGAATGTTTTAATGTGAACTTGCAAAATGCATGACAGAGCCTCCAAGTGTTTCTATGAGGCTGCACACAGATGCATCGTGCAATGCGATGAAGCCAGAAAATGAAACGCATTCACGGGTTCTTACTTCTGCCAACAGCATAACTTTTGCGGCAGGCAGTCTTAAGTGTCAAACTTATGTCCCAGGCATTCGTTGTGCTCAAATTTATCGAGCAAGTAGGAAATGTGACAGCGAAAATCAAGGAGGGCTGGAAGCACGCAGTGGACATCTTTGGATGCAGTGGGTAACAGAACACATCGAGTAAACATGAAAGCATCAGTGCAAGTAAGCCTGATCGACACGGCCCTGGGGATAGACCTTCCACAGGTGAATTCATCAGTGAATTCGTCAGCGAACTTGCTTGCCAATAGGCGATGACACTTGAATGGTGCCATTGAGGCAGCGACGCATAAAGTCGGTGACGCTCGTGACGTACTGGTTTCGGTGGAGAACAAAGTGCTGCACGTGTGGAGAGTCCTGCCAGAACACTTCCTCCACCGGAACACCTTTAGCACGGCGTGCGGCCGCAAATGCGTGGATGCTCTGGTGCGAGCAGATGGCGTCCTTTTCCGAGTACAGGAACAGCTGTGGACACAGGGGGCTCTCGGCGAGCAGGGCATTGTACGTGCTCTCGCATCGGTGGAATCCAGTGCCGAGAACGAGGTTGCCGATTGAGGTCAATGCCGAGTACAACCACATGGCCAACGCCCAAAAGAAAGCCACGGTGTAGCGGAACAGGGAACGCCCTCTGACGAAGGTAGCCATGACGCTGACGCTCTGCCAGAAGCCGACGCGAGCGGGTCCACTGTCAAAAATCACGCCTCGTATCTGCAGCCAAGAACACAGCATGGTACAGTTGCGAGGAGAGCAAAGAAACAAGCTTAATTTCTTTTTGCTGCTGGAAACACCGCAGCAACCAGGCAGTCATAGACACAATTAGCACTGAAACACATGGCAACAGGCGCGCTACTGCACAGTGCTTATGAAATGATATGCAACACAGAGAATTCGATGTTGCAGTTCGAGCTTTTTTCTAATCCTCAATAGCTGGCACCATTTTTCGAGGTGCCAGGTTGAGGACACAATATTTGGTTAGATGCTACATTTTTTTTTAAACCGAGCTTGCAATCAAGAAAAGCTGCTCTACAACTCTGACGACGATGTGTTGCCGAATGGTGCACTATTTCTGTTAAAGGAAAGGAATTTTGACACTGCGCAAGCTCACTGTTAGCAGTGCTCATTGCTTGCAGATGACAGAGAGTGTAATGATACATTTAAATGTGTTCACCCTCTTGGTTGGTCAAGAAGGACTGCAGCTTCCACAGTGCTGCACAGAACTACTGAAACAGAGTATAGGTATGTGGCGGCACAGTGCAGCGCCGCCTCTGCGCCTGCGTCGACGCTACCCAACTGAGCGCCAGGTGATAAGAACACTCTCCCCCACCAGAAGACGCAAAAACTGTGTGTGCTGCCGCAATCGAGCAGTAGTTGCTGTTACATCTCTTCGTGTGGACGCGTTAAAGTTATGTGTACACACATCTCGTGACCCGCACAACAAATTTACCACACCGCCATGGCAGACTAGTAAGCCCTAACCACTCTTCGCCATTAACTAGAACAACTACAAGAGCAACTGCAGGCCTAACAACAGCTAATCGTTGAACAGCAGCAACGCACCCAACGTGAACCACACTCATTTAACAACACTGCTCAGCCGCGCTCGGGCAACGCCCCCCAGAGCTCTACTCCAGTGAGCAGCATCACTACTGCCGCCGACAAGGACATCTGTCGCGTCGCTTTGTAGCTCCCCCCCCTTTTGGGCAGAGTCAACTGACGTGTAATTCGTGCAAGTTGAGGTGCAATTTTTCCTGGCACGTATCACCCAGGACCAGGCGCGCTATGACTACGTCGTCGCCCACTTAGATTCTCGCTACGCAGCTGAGTTCTGCGACATACTCACAAATCCCCCAGCCAACGACTGCTATCTGCACTTGAAGAGAGAACTTATTCGGCGGCACCTTCAAAACACAAGATAGTTCATCAACTCTTTCAGCACGAAGCGCTCGGTGACTGCAAGCCATTACAGCTCATGAGTGGTATGCGTGTTCTCGCGGGCAGCACGCCTGTTGACGACTCCCTCCTCCAAATCATGTGGCTTGACCGTTTGCCCTTTCACGCTCAGGCCATCCTCCAGGTTCAGCCGACCCTGTTGCTGGAACAACTCGCAGAAATCGCCGACCGAGTCGTCGATGCCTCTCAACCACGGCCACCTCTTTACGTTCACATCGGCATCATTGGCCCCCTTTCACCGGTCGGGCCTTACCGCTACTGCCTCACCATCATCGAACGGTACATTCGATGACCTGAAGTATTGCTACTTTAAAAAATTACCGCAGAAGACATCCCCTCGGCCTTCTTCACTGCCTGGATTTACCACTTCGGCATTCCTTGTCGCGTCACCACCGATCAAGGACGACAATTTGAGTCCCAGCTCTTCAAGCTTCTCGAGCTTTTTACTGGGTTTGAACGCTCGTGGATTATCAGCTACCACCCCTGCGCCAATGAGATGATCGAGCGGTTCGACCGCCAGCTCAAGGCAGCCATCACGTGCCACCCTAACTCAATTTGGCTTGAGGCTCTGCCGGCCATCGCTCTTGGTCTGTGTGCCACCTTCAAACCAGACCTCCAGGCAACGCCTGCTTGAACTCGTTTACGGGCAGCCGTTTCACCTACCTGGGGAACTTCCCTCCGCTTCCACTCCCGCCATCACCAGCTTGGATCCTACAGACTTTGTCGCCTGGCTCTGTCCCACAATGACCTCTCTACGCCCGTTCGCATCTCCATCGATTGTCTGAAGCCACCATACCAAGGAAACTACGAACTCCGGCACGCCTCCCATAAATAAACCAGATCAGCCTCCAACGCCTTGACCTGCGCCCTACATCACACGCTTTAGACACCAGGTGCGTGTCCCCAATGCTTTTCAAACCTGAGGGCACCTCTCCGTATGGGAGGCTGATAAGGCGGTGCAGTGCGACACTGCTTCTGCACCTGCGCGCAGCGTCGACGCCACCCAACCGAGTCCCGAGTGATAAGAACACTCTTGCCCACCAGAAGACACGAAAAATGTGCGTGCTGCCACAATCGAGCAGTGTTTGCTGTTACGTCTTTTCGTGTACACGCATTAAAGTTATGTGTACACACAGGTACAAAACAGGTGCCGCATACATTCATAGATCTTGTTAGCTGTGAAGTTTAGCCCGTTGAACCACTGATGCCTTTTTGTGGCAATAACTTGAAAAGAAAGCTTACTTTGTCACCCCACCATGCAATGCATAAAGTGCACAAAACATAATCTATTGCCTTTTGTTTTTTCACTGCGTTCAAATGAGGAACTCAAAAAGCCATGCTATTATCAAGACTATTCATAATATCCCAAAATGACCAAAAACAATAAAAGCAGCAATATTTGCTGTGTAAAGCAGGTCACGAATTTCAATAAACTTGACAGAGCTTCCGGTGGCCACTGCTCAGTGGCACCATAATACGTGAAAGTTGCAAATATTACAACTAAAAAACAAAAGTAGATAACTGTTCGGGTGGCCACTGCTCAGCCGCACCACAATACGTGAAAGTTGCAAATATTACAACTAAAAAACAAAAGTAGATAACTGCGAGAGCGCTGATGCTGTGTGGGCGCAGTCTCTTTTATTAACGCACAATTGCAAGTACAAAACATACGTTCTGTCTCCAATCATTCAGTACGTTAAGAAGGACCCTCTGCATGCAATGAAAGGCAGAACTTTAAAGAACACAAGATATCAAATAATCTCATGAATAGTCCCTTCCAATTTCTATTGACTTTAAAAAAATATGGTTTATGGTTTTAAGAGCAAGTTCGCACCTAAAATACCAGCACGAAAACGAAAAGCTACACACACACAGAAAAAGACTCTGGACATGTGCTGTATACTGAAAGAAAGGATGCTGTTTTTGCACTCTAATTTTTTTAGCTATTGTAGACACGCACAGACAAGCAATAAGTAAGTGAAATGCATACTTAACATTTATTTTCACTTGCAAATGAAATATCAGATGAGATAATTCAAGTCTAATCGCACATTTAGTTGGGCACCGCCGCTCTCTAACTTGGATTGCTACAATGCGGAGCAAGCTCTTCATTTGAGCCAGAAAATACATGTTCCAACTTAACTTGCAGCCACTCACCAGAGAAATCAAAGACCTGACAAGCAAACGCATCACCACGTGTTCTGTTGAAAACAGGCAAGGTACAGAAGTCGCGTGATCAGATCTATAAGATGCAAGCGTAAACACAAGTGGAAGTCTGCGTGAGCATTCGGTGGTATGATATCTGCGAGACAGTCTGATGACGCTGCCGTGTTGCAGATCGCGGACGATGCTGACCTTGATAAAATTCACTAGTTTGAGGGTTAAATATGTTCGTTGCTACTACGAAACAAAAAAACATGTCAAGATAGATTACCACAAATTTGCCCTGCCGCGTCATATTACTCCAGTCAGCAAAAATCTTTTTCCTGTTTTGCACATAAATACATGCTTGGCTGCTTCAAAGCACGAAAAAATATGTGATTTTGTCACCGAACTTAGTTTGAGATTTTCTGCCATACTGCTCACGGAAACATGGTACAAAGATGGATGGATGGTACCACTCCAAGTTTACCTGGTTACAATAACTTCTTTCTAAATAGGCCTCAACAATGAGGTGGTGGCGTTGCTATCTATGTTAAAGAAGGTCCAAGATATGTGTTAGTACCAGATTTTTGCAAAGCTACTGAGGACTATGAAATACTGACACTGCAGGAAAACACAAAATTTATAACTGTTGCATACAGTCCTCCCCGCAGCAACACATACATGTTTTTTTTTCTTTTTGAAAATCTTTTAGATTATACCTGAGTAAACAAGTTTCATCTAGTTTGTGCCGGTGACTTCAACATTAACGTTTTGGAGAGCACATACGACGTGGCGGATATTCAACAAATCTTTAGCTTTACTGTTTTCATTAATTTAATTAGTACTGCAACACTCGTGACAATACTGCTTCAGCAATTGACTTAAATATCACGAACGTGACAAACACAGTACTGCACGCGGGAACATTAGCATCAGGTATAAGTGACCATTGCCCTGTATTTGCTGCATTTCATTGCATTGTTAATGACAAAAAGTGCAAGTTTGAGCCTCTCGTTATTCAGCACTTATTTCAAGCAGCCTTGCAGTTGTTCGGGCATGAAATTAGTAAGTGCGTTTGGTCACATGTCACGTGAACAAAAGACGTAAATGAGGCATCAGGTATAAGTGACCATTGCCCTGTATTTGCTGCATTTCATTGCATTGTTAATGGCAAAAAGCGCAAGTTTGAGCCTCTCGTTATTCAGCACTTATTTCAAGCAGCCTTGCAGTTGTTCGGGCATGAAATTAGTATAAGTGCGTTTGGTCACATGTCACGTGAACAAAAGACGTAAATGAGGCTTACTGCAGATTCCTTGAAACCTTCCTGCGCATCTACGTTAAGCATTTTCCATTCAAAACCTGTAAACAATCTAAAAAAGATAAGAAAACTATGGGTAACCAGTGTGCACTTGGATATGATAATAAAGAAAAATAAACTTTATTGTCAACTTCTGCGCAGACGATTCCCGTTACAGCTGACATAATTCAAGTCACTACGAAATAAGCTTAACAGTGAGCTTAAGTGTGTTAAGATTACTGATGATCATTCCATTTTCTCTTATATCACAAGGAAACACCCAGACGCTGCATTGAAGGTAATGAGCTCCGTTTAA